GGCATGCTCTTATATTAATAGCTAACTTTATTTACTGGGAAGGTCTACTCAAAAGTAGACTGAAACTGAACCTAAATCAGTCAAGCTAAATATATTATAAATAACCTAGATTAAAACTTTACATGTAGAACACTGTCCTCAACCTTAATCATTCTGTGTCTCTGCATATAAGAAATATTTCAAGCCTTTTTTGTTTTATTTTCAATGATTATGGCCTCACGTTAATGAAAATCAAAAAGTCAGGATCTCAGATTATTAGAATATTTCAAAGTGATTATTGCAACCTTGGTGTCAAAAAGGTCAGGAACTGGGACAAGCTTCACAATACTAAATAATGATAACAGAAATAAATTTTATCTGTCACCCCCTCCTTTGGTTTTTTTACGTTACCATGTTGGAGAGGTTTGCATGCCCTAGTGATCCTGGAAGCTATGTTTCTAGGGCCGATGGCACCTCGTAGGATCCTGGGTGAGAGGCTAGACTAAGAGCAATTCAGAACAGTCTTATGATAATTGAAAAACCAAGGGCCCAAGTTACCTTTCTTGAGCTCCACAGTGGAGCGAGGGCAAGAGCCTGAGAACAAAGAGCCTGCAATGTATGGTATGTATGGTAATGGCTGGGGTGTTGGGAAAGTAGAGGCCCTGATGTTCTGAAATTTAGCTTTCAAGTTTGGCTACAGGGACACGGAATCTGACCTCTTTAAAGGGGAAGGACCTTGAGCTTGTCCATGAAGTTGAGAGAGACATGAGGTTGAGTTGGACTCACCTAATCACGTAACTTGTACATCTTAGGTTCTAAAACCAGCTATATGTATTGAACACTTGGATGAAGAGAGGAGCTGAACCTGTAACTGTTTAGTATCTGGTAGTCAGTTGGATCACGTAGCGGGGGAAGAAGCCAGACACATCAGCTGCACAATAAAATACACTGAGTGAGCTGGCTACAACCCAGATCTGTGAGATCTTCAACTCCCACAGCAGCATTCCAAGGCAGGCTGGGTACAGTGTTTGAATGGACAGTATTATTCATCTAAGGCTAAAGCAGCTGTCGGGAACTATTGTCATAAGGTAATTGGTGGATGAGGGGAACAACTTGCACATCACTTGGGCCCTGCACCCAGAGAGACCACAACCAATCTGTTCACTCTGTGTTCCTCAAGGCTCTTGCCGTTTTGGCCCAGAGTTGGTTGATATGCCTCTTTAACACTGTGAAGGTCTGGGGTGGTACCTCTGGATTGGCAAACTAGAGTGATGGTTCCTCTTTTTAAGAAAAGGGACTGGTAGTTGTGGTAAAACTTCAAGGGGTATCAACTTCTCAGCTTTCTGGTTGTGGAACATCAGAGCAGTTCTCCTCTTGTGGAAATTGGAGCAGACATGGGAATTTGCCCAATTAAACAGAATACATGCAGAAGTGTGGTCCATGGCTCAGCTGCAGGGGAGGGGTGGAGCAGTGAGCTCAAGGGGCAGTGACAGGGAGGTTGGTGGCACATGTGTGTTTTATTTTAGTTATTGAGCTCTTTCTCTCTTCCTGTGTGATTTAGTGAAGCCGGAGCAGAGAGTGGAGAGGTGTGTCAGAGTGCAGCTGTAAAGCTGCGCCCATGGGTGCCGAGCCAGAATAACAACAAAGAAATTGTCAGCAGTGTGTGTCACAGCAATAAAAAGGGAAAATAAAAATAATAAACAGTGTGTCAACTTTTGGTCCATTTTCACACTGGTGCCAAAATCCCTGTTGCCATGTCGGACCCGCAAGCCATGCCACCTGTGCAGCCACTGCAGATTCCAGGCCTGCCGGATGACGGAGGAGGAGCAACCGTTTGCCTGGGCCTGGAACCTGCATGATGCGTCGGCGAGGTGGCTACAGCCCGGGAAGTCCAGAAGGGGAGGCCCACATGCTAGGGAAAGTTGTGCAGGAGCAGTCCATGGAAAAGGGCTCTCTGCAGACACATAGCGGTGGGTGCATTGCCACCAGTCCGCGAGTGTGGCGGTCCTTTTTGCTGGCAGCCAGAGCGGAGGGGCCAGAAAGCCAACAGGGACACAGCCCCCTGTGACAGTGCTGAGGCGATGGGTTCCAGCAACTGCTCCGGTGGAGGGCCCCCTACACTGCACCCCAGTAACCTCTTTCTCTCCATTCTGCCTTCCCAGGGCCCGGAAGGGGCTGGCGCTGCACCCTAGCCATGGAGGGCGGGACATTGTTTATTGTTAGAAGACAGGCTATATCGAGTGAGTCGTGACACTCGCACGGAGGAGACACACACCCAGTTGTTGGTACCACAAAGCCGCCGAGAAATGATTTTCCAGGCAGCTCACTATAACCCTAAGACAGGGCATATGGGATTTGACAAGACTCTGGAGCAAATTATGACCCAATTTTATGGGCCAGGTATCCGAGAGGATGTGCACCGCTGGTGCGCATCTTGTCCGGAATACCAACTCATTAACCAGCCAGCCATACCAAAAGTGACTTTGCGCCCCCTACCATTGTTGGAGGTCCCATTTGAAAGTATTGGCATGGACCTCATCGGGCCATTTCACCGGAGTACAAGTGGCTATCACGTTGTATTGGTTCTAGTGGATTATGCAATGCCAGAAACACCCAGAAACAGTGTCGTTGCAAACCATCACTGCAAAGAGTGTGGTGCAGGCACTGTTTCAGGTCATCTCCCGAGTCCGTATTCCGAAAGAAATACTGACTGACCAAGGCATGTGGTTCATGTCTTGCACACTGAAGGAACTGTACAAATCATGGGGCATTAAATCTATTCAGAAAAGCGTCTACCACCCTCAGACTGACGGGCTGGTGGAGTGGCTGAATAAGACTTTAAAGTGCATGATTCTGAAGTTCATACATGAGGATGAACACAATTGGGATCACTGGTTAGACCCTCTGCTATTTGCAGTGCGGGAGGTGCCCCAGGCCACCATGGGATTTTCTCCCTTTGAACTACTGTTTGCCAGGAAGCCGTGTGGGGTGCTCAACCTAATTAATGAAAGCTGGGAGGAAGGTCCAGCAACGTCAGCAGCATCTGTATAACAGAGTGGCCAGGCAATTTTCACCAGGGAGACAAAGTGCTTGTATTACTACCTTCTTCTAGCTCTAAACTACTCACCAAGTGGTAAGGGCCCTTTGTGGTCACACAGCGAATGGGGAACGTTGACTATGAGGTCTCGCGGTTGGACAGAGAGGGGGCCACACAGATTTGTCATCTCAACCTCCTTAAAGCATGGTGAGAGACTGAAACTGCGTCTCTGGTGAGCCGGGTCAAGGAGAGAGATAAGTTGGGGCAGGAAGTACTAAATTGCACCATTCCCACCTCCCTCCATTGCAACGACCATCTCATACAGGCCCAGAGAGCTGATGTTGCCACATTGCAACAGTGCTTTGCAGACATGTTCTCCCCCCTGACCAGCTGTACGTCTCTCATCAAGCATCATTTTGAAACGCAACCTGGCGTGACAGTGCATTCATGACCCTACAGGCTTCCTGAACATAAAAGACAAATTGTTCAGATCGAATTGGCTGAAATGCTAAAAATGGGAGTAATAGAAAAGCCAAACAGCACCTGGTGTAGCCTCATAGTTCTTGTAGTGAAAAAAGATGGGTCTATATGGTTCTGTGTTGACTATCAAAAGATGAATAAAGTGTCATGCTTTGATCCTTAACCCATCCCCTGGGTTGACGAGCCCCTGGACCAGTTGGGCACGGCCCGTTTTTTCATGACGCTGAATTTAACCAAGGGCTACTCACAGTTTCTCTTATCTGCAGATAAGAAGCAAACTGGTTTTTGCCAGTTCGGTACACTTCTTTTTGGCTTGTTTGGGCCCCGGCCACATATCAGCACCTCATGGATTGGGTGCTGTGGCTGCACGCTGCAATGCTGCCGCCTACCTGGATGATGTTATCATCTACAGTGACACCTGGGCGGAGCATGTGCAGTGGGTGGCAGTGGTCCTGGAGTCCCTGAGGTAGGCGGGACTCACAGCCAACCCGAAGAAGTGTGCAGTTGGACAGAGGGAGGTACAGTATCTGGGGTACCACATGGGAGCCAGGCAGGTGCGTCCACAGGCGGAAAAGACAGCAGCTACTGCACCCTGCCTGCGCCCCAAGACAAAAAAAGAAGTGAGACGGTTCCTGGGGCTGACAGGTTACTATCACTGGTTTGTGCCCGAGTTTTTTGACCTGACCAGCCTCTTGACTAATCTCACCCGAAAGGGTGCTCAAGATCTGGTCCAGTGGACACGGCTGTGCTAGGCGTTTGTGCAGGTGAAAAAATATCTCTGTGGGGAGCCACTGCTCCACACTCCAAACTTTTCTATCCCTTTTCTTCTGCAGACTGATGCCTCAAACAGAGCGCTGGGGGCCGTTTTGTCCCAGCAGGCAAGGAGGGTCGACCGGCCCGTACCCTAAATCAGCTGGAAGGAAAAGGAGTGCCTGATGGTTCAGCCGGATGGCTCCCCAGCCTCAGTTGGGCGGTGGTGGTGTGTGCCGGAGGTGTGGTCCATGGCTCAGCTGCAGGGGAGGGGTGGCACAGGTGTGTGGTGTTTTAGTTAATGAGCTCTCTTTTCCAGCTGGAAAGCTGCACGCATAGGTGCTGAGCCGGGAAAAACGACAAAGAAACTGTGTGTGTCACGGCAATAAAAAGGGAAAATAAAATGGCCTGTATTTGTATAGCGCTTTACTTAGTCCCTAAGGACCCCAAAGCGCTTCACACATTCAGTCATCCACCCATTCACACACACATTCACACACTGGTGATGGCAGCTACATTGTAGCCACAGCAACCCTGGGGTGCACTGACAGAGGCGAGGCTGCCACCGGGCCCTCTGACCACCACCAGTAGGCAACGGGTGAAGTGTCTTGCCCAAGGACACAACAATGTGTTTTGTGGACTTGAAAAGGCATTTGACAGTGTCCATCGGGATGTACCTCCAAGTCTGATGTCATGATTTTCATCTGGAAATAGATGGACTGCCCACTGTGGGTTAGGAATGAGTTGCTGCGTGGAGGAGTATTTTGATGTCTTGCAAGTGAAGGAAGGGTGGAGTAGGAGATTAACAACAAACTGGTAGCGCCTCAGTGACAGATCTTTTCCTTGATACCTATAAATTTTGTTTCAAAGATAGTTACTTCCTCAATGGGCAGAAAAGGTCTGTTAATACACTTTTTGGTTAGCATTATACATGTGAATATTGTTGAACTGTCTCTGTTCTTGACATTACCTAAAGCTGCAAGTAATCCATACTAACTACTGTGGAGTCTTACCGTGTATATTGAATGTGTGAACAGACAGTGTGTTTGACTGACCCACAGACATAAAAACTAACCTTATTTGTGGAGTCCTTGAAGCCACATTCTCCTTTATCGTACCACCACTTGTTTTTCATCTTGTCTAGGGTCCCTTGCTCATTCAGTTTCAATACGGCAAGGTTTACTGGCACTCTTCAATGGGAATAACATAAATAACATCATTATCAATGTTATCTTATGTTATTAATGAGGCAGCGGTTCTCAAACTCTGGTCTAGCCACCAAGACAGGTCCCTCATGTGCTACTAATTATTCATCATTAAAACTTTCATTGCAGTATTTGAACATTTATTCAAATACTTTCAATGTAAAGATCGTCTAATGGCTTTCTTTATTTTGTATAAGACACCTTTTAGCAAGTTCACTGTCTGTTGATTGTCAAATATTAAATACTAAAAGTATTTAGACATGACCATGAACAGGAAGTCTGTAAAGACTCTGTGGAATAATCTTGTTTAATTTGGCAAAGCTGCTTAAAGAAAATCTTGTGCTGTCAGGGCCTCTCTGCTTGGCCCTGGAGACAGAGAATGAGATGTGCTCAGCGAAAAGGCTTTCTGCTTTTTCAGTAGCAGTACTCCTCCAGGGCAGAGCCATTGATAAATAGAGTTTGGGCAGTTGCACAAACTCTTTATCGACAGCTCTTCTCCTGCACTGTTGCTACCATCTGGTGTGAGGTCACCTGACCCTGATCTGTAAGTCCTCATCTGCCTGCAAGTGTGCTCTGAACCTGACCTCAACCAAACAGGGGCAACATATCAGCAAAAGAAGCATTACAGACTACAATGCTACATGTTCTGGTTCCTTATTGCATCTGCTAAATCTAGTAGTTCTAGCGTATTAGTTTTTCTTTGTTCTTCAATTTCTGTAAGGGGTTACAGTTAGCTACTAGTGTTTGATGTCACATGTGGCATTGTAACTCTGTTTCTTCTTTACACTTTTTACATTTAATAACCCAGTGTCACCTGTGTGTTGTGTGCTGTAGTGTATGTGTGTGTGTGTGTGTATTAACCTTGCTCTCCCCTCCTCCGCTGCCGCATTCTCCCTTGTCATACCACCACTTGTTTTTCAGTTTGTCCAGCAGCCCCTGCTCGTTCAACTTTAACACCGCCAGGTTCACCGCATTTCTACATGAACACAGTGGCTGTTAGCAGTTCAACTCTTGCCAGTGTCTGTCCTCCTGCTGATATGCATGTTAATAGGATGTAAATAATAATAATTACTGTAAACACAATAGAGATAAAAGGAAATCGATTTTCTCATAACAGTTATCTTGAAGTAATATTTATATAATATGGTGTTTTGGTGGCTACACTCATGGAAATCAGAATGTTGTGTGGTATGTCAAATTTATATTTGTCGTTATAAAACAGAGATACACAGAGATGGATTTTTGGTTCTCATACAGTTGTCAAAAGTTTACATTCATCACTGAGATGAATGCCATAGTAATTTGGGACTTTTATATATGCATATATCAAACTAAAACAGTTTTAGATACAGTACCTGAATCTCAAAGTTACAGCAATGAAAAATGATTGCATAAATAAACTTGGAGTAGCTGGAAAAGTGAAAGTGAGAGGTTTTGTAATTTGGTAAGACATATGTCAAGGGCTAGGTTAATGCCTTTGCAGATTACCAGTAATACTTTATGGCATACCTTAGAATGATATGAAATATATTTAGAATGGTGAGTTGCTCAAATTCCAATTATAAATATCCATTATAAACCAGCATACCTTTATTATAATAAACTAGTACCTACTCTATAATAATGTTCCACATAACCAGACTAGGAGCTGATTGCACACACATTGTCAGTGTCATCTCATACTGATGCTTGGTCTTGAGTCCCTTTTAATCATATTTGCATTTAATTGTAGTGCCATTTTAAAATATTTTCTACCAACTGGAATTGTACAAGCTCAGTTTTGATGGTTCTAAGCCTGTATGTATGCTATATTTCCATCCTGATACAAAAACAGTCCCATTTAAAAAAATATATATAGATCTTGGATTAGATTATCAGATCATTCAAGGCACTGGTTGCCACCAGCAGCACCGTTAATAAAGAGGGTACTGGTAGAAACTATGAAGCAACAGTCAAGGAGAGGAGGAAAGAATGTCTGAAGACAGCTGATAAAGTAGGAGTATGAAGTTGAGAATCTAAACTGTGACTATTGCGGTGAAGGGAGGAATGAGTCTGAAATGATACAGAGAAGGAATTATTAATATATACATTTGTGCAAGTGATGAGGCAGAAGAGGATTAAAGCCAATAGCATAAGCAGCTATGGCTAACAGGAAGAAAAGGTCATCTGGTAATTCCGAGGTAGGTTGTTTGCACCCTGGCATTTCCAGTCAGCATATCAAAATGTCCTTTGGCAAGATACTGAACCAGTAAACACTAATTAAAATATATCTCAAATAATCAATGAACCTGCCAGGTCTATTATAAAGAACATTCCCTTATCTGTAATTTATCTTTTGTACTAATGGAAGTGACAGCATCATTGGACAAGGTGTTATTGATTTAGGGCTTGAGCTACAATCCTATTGCATGTTACAGAAAAACCACCTTAAGGGAACCTAGAATTATTTTTAAGGGAAAAACAAGCTATTTCGCACAGTCTCACAGAAGCCAGCAGACCTGGGGAGGGAACTTAAAGGAGAATGCCTGGTGGCCGTGGCAACCCAAAGAGATAACCCACATAGCAGACAGGTTTGGCCTGGATCTGGTATCAAGCCAGCACTGCTGGCTGACTTCTGGCATGGTAAGTGGTATGTCATCCAGATATGGGCCAGGCCCGGCGTAGATGGCACTGTTTATGTGATGGCATGCCACATCTGTCCCAATTGTGGTTTGGTTTATGTGGCCGAGGCTCATAGAAAACAGGTCTGGCCCGGATCTGGCACTTCTGACTGACTAGTGTCATGGCAGGGTGTCTGTCAACCAGATGTGGGAAAGGTCTGGCAATAATTGCACTATTTATGTTCCTATTTTCCTGTTTTAGTTAGAAGACCCAAATGCCATGTTGCAATACTATACTGCTATGGTAGCCAATGTTTCAAATGCAGGTTTGACAGGTTTGTGAGTGTACACTTTAGCCAAAACCTAGTGAGGTTTACTCATGCTTATTACTGGGTGGTTGTAGCTCAGGAGGTAGAGCAGATCACCTACTAATCAAAGGGTTATTGGTTCAATCCCTGGCTTCTCCAGCCTGCATGTCAGGAGTATAAATGTAGTTAGGAATCACTCCGTTTAAAGAAAGTGTGTGATCGGGTGAATGTGGCATGTTGTATAGAGCACTTTGAGTAATCCATGAGAGTAGAAAAGTGCTTTATAAGAATCAGTCCATTTACTGTCTGAGTTTTGTCATGTTACTTTTGCACTATTATGTTCCGGCACACGTTGTTATTACATGGCTTGATTAAGGTACACATTAGGCTGACATCTGGGGCCAGAGCTAAAACTGTGTGTGTCTGCAACTGGCCTTGTGCAGGCCCATGTGTGGGCCACCTCTGGCAAACCTGATCTGGGCCACCAAAGGGCCATCATTCTTTGCAGTATGTGGGCCAGATCCGGGCCATACCAATTTTGCTATGTGGGAACATTGGCCTGTTCTCTTGTGTGCTTGCTATCTGCAGGAGGCATAAAAGGGGTTTGGTGCAGCTGGTGTCAGGCGGCAGTCAGGGACTGAGGCAACAGGGAGGTCCCAACTGAGCTGTGCTGAATGATATTCAAAGTGCAAAGAAGTCTTGGAGTCATCCAACCAGGTGGGGCAGCTGCCAGTACCCCACCTGGTTGGGTACTTGGGTACATCCTAGATCGCTCAATGATTGATTTTGTAATTATATCATCATATCTGCAACAATGGGCTCTGGACACGTGGGTGAAGTGGGGAACTGAGCTGTCAATCAATTGCCACCTAGTGGTAGGTTGGATTAGGTGGCAGGGGAGGATGGTAGACAGGCCTGGCATGACCAAACGTATAGTAAGGGTGGACTGGGAGCTTCTGGCAGAAGCCCTGGCCTGTGAGATCTTTAACCCCCAGAGCTTTGACAGCATTCCAATGAAGGCTGGGGACACTATGTTCTGTACTTCCACTGTTGTGCAGAGCTGTAGCTGCAATATGCCTATATTAAAAAAAAAACTTGACCTTGACCTTGTCATAGTGGCAATCCCCAAACTAGATGGTGGAAAGCGGTTGTGAAGGGAGCAATCTACCTGAAAAGCAGTGTTATTGGGCTTGGTTAGTTTGTGTGACTGAAAACAGCTGACAAGTATCAGCAGCCAAAATGCACTTGGGCTGAAACAAAATCTTGGGTGTGGGAAGAATTCATTGAGGCCATAGTTTGAGACTGTCAGCCTTGAAGTGATTCTGGTTACGTCAGGCAACTTAGGAGGAGAAAGCCACACTCTACACATATTTACATAGTGTACAGTGCAGCTGGAGCACTGCTGACTTCACTGATGATATGGTTTGGTGCTGAAAGTAATACTTTGAGGATCTCCTAAATCCCACTGACATATAACTTCCATCGTGGAAGCAGAATATGGGAATGACCTATGACCAGTGTTTGTGTTTTCAATTTATACAATTCAGTTTTATTTATACAGGGCCAAATAACAACAACAGTCACCTCAAGGTGCTTTATATTGTAAAGTAGACATTACTTTACAATATAAATATAATGTAAATATAATTTGTTTTCCTAACCCTACCTACACTAACAGTCATGCTTGAAACTTGAAGCAAGACATAAGATCCATCAGACTTTATCCTCCAACTGTCGCCAAAGAGCGACAAACTTTCTTTTAACAGGAAGAAACCTCCAGCAGGCTGAGCCTGACTCTTGGACTTTCAAGTTCTGTTTATTTCTTAGTTTTTGCATTGTTTAGATTTTCACCTCTGCATCTATGCATAGTCTTGCCAAAGGACATTTGGCATGCAGACTGAAGCAGCCAGAGATTGAACCACAAAGCTTGCAACTAGTAGATGACCGGCTCTACCTCCTGAGCCACAGTTTCCCGGCCTGCCTGTTTTCCCATGTGCTATTCTGTATTGCAAGGTATATATTATGTTGTATTTTGGACTTTTTTTCTTGTAGTCCCCTTCTGTCATGATGTGGAGTGTGATAGTGAGGAATGAGGACCTCAAATGCAGGATGCAAAGACAGAGTTTTAAAACAAAGCAATCCATTTGAATATAGCTGGATAAACCCCCATAATACAAAGTAACACAGTACGACATGAAAAACAGTACAACATAATGGAACACAGGCAAACTAAGGTAATTAGTGAAGTGGAAACAAAAAAAACAAAAAAAACAAAACAGAAATTAAAAGTCCAAAAACACAAACACAGGGTCATAGGACGTGACAAGTCTACGTGTACAGTAACTTGTTTATCATAAACACCATATACTGATTAACGTAAATATTTTTTTAAGATTTCTAAAATCCTATGTTTGTTATGTGATCTAAAATCTTACTTATAGCCACTTATAGCAACTAATAATATAATCACTTATTTGTCAGTATTGCCATTCATATATTTTAAGTTTG